AAGGTGTAATTTTTAAGGTTTAAGCGCATATAAATGAAACATTACTCAATAAATTAGTAATATAATAATTAAAATACTTTATTTAAAGTTGGTAGATTTAAATAAATTTTTCAAAATTGTTGGCTAATAGAGCATAGCGGATTTTTATAATCGCAGAATTTTTATTGATTATCTCATCATAATTGTCTTATTAAATTAACAGTTTGCTGTCACAAAAATAAATTCACAGTTAGATTACGAAACAGGCCGGGTCTACCCAACTTTTGTGGGTCGGGTCGCGCCTGAGTCGGGCCCAAATTTTAGGCCTTATATAATGGGTCGGGTTCGGCTCTGTTCATTGACACGCCATAGCCCGATTAACTTATAACATAATACAATACGCGTCGTTAGAGCCAAATTTAAATAAGGTAGTTGCTCGATGTTGTCGAGCGACGCCAGAAACGTAAATTTATGAATGAGCTAGTGATTTTTTATGTAGCATAGCAGCTTTCTAGACTGGTCTTAATAATTAGAAATAACAGATTAAATTTATAAAGTACCAGTGCCATTTTATTTAGTAATTAAGAGTAAAAATTGATAGCATAACTCCTCGAAATAACGCATGGGGATTTACAATAAATTTTAAATAAAATATTTAAGTAAATTCATTAATTAAATAACTGTTAATAGTAAGAAGTTATACAATGCATACTTTTCATATGTAAATTTTAGTAAACCTTGGATCTTGCCTGTAAGATAATGAATAATAAATGTAAGTACTGTATTATATACTAAACAACTTGAACATACCTCCGATTTAAAATCATTAACTTACTGTAAAATCTTGAACAAACTTACCGTTGAAATCGCAACTCCATCGTTTTTTGAAATTACTAACAACTCATTATCAAAACTATAAACATGCTTGTTGTTGAAATTAAAAAATCATCTGCCACTAAAATCGTGAATGCATTGCACTGTTAAATTATGAATTCATTTTCTGTTTAAATTCTTAACACATTTACCATAAAATCACGAACTAACCGTTATCTTGAAGTCTGCACTTTCTTGATTTTCCTAGGGTTTCATACGTATCTTCCATTAGTTGATGTTGAGAGCTCTGTCCTTCCTCATCTTGAGAAGGGGTGATTCTTGATCGCAAAATTTTTGTTTTTCCTCTTGATTTTTGTACAAGCTCCCTTAGGGATTGTATTTGAGGGTCACCTTCATGTATCTCATGTACTTCATTTACTTCATTTGGGTATTCTGAGCACAATGAATCATCCTCTTTGTCAACATCATACGTTTCTCTCTTTGACTTTTCAGTCATTTCAGATCTTGTATGGTTCCCCATATTCGAATAGTCCCTTATTCTTTGTATTAACTCGGCTTTTGTTCCTTTGGTTCCTTCTATGGAGATACTAAGACCACGACAAATTTCTTCAAGATTA